CCTTGGGCCCATTAAGCTAGAAATTGGAAACTAAAACAAACAGATCAGCGAATAAAAATAAATAAATAAATAAATAATAATAAATATAAAGATGAAATAATAAAGAGGAAAAAATCTTAACAACATCATCCTTTGCACCAGCAACAGAGATGGGAATCGAAGTCTCAACTCTCACCTCAAGAAGACTGAACCCTAGCCTGATGAGCTCAGAATGCTTAATCAAACTAGAATATTTCTTCGATTCGCAATCCTCCAAGCTCAGTAAACGTCTCTTGTCCTTGACATTGAGGTGGAAGCGGATACCTAAAAGGAATAAGAAAAGTAAAGTTAGTAGAATGAAACATTCAGATTAGGATAGTTCTGCCCAGGCGGAACTCACCCAAATTATCAAGGACAGATCGAGCCTGAGGCACAGGAAATGTATCAGCTACATCATTGGGGTCAAACTCACATTCTTTCCTAGACACAAAGAAGAAAAGTTTTTTCCAACCCTTATGGGAGGTCAATTATAATGAGATGGACCTTCACCCATTTAGAGATATACAGGAAACCATCAAAAGGGGTGAATTTAACATTGAAAATTTTCATAAGCAGAGGTATAGTGGGATGTCAATTTCATTTTTCTTGAAGAACACAAGGAGACCCACAAGAACCTCCCAAAAATTGGGAGNTTTCCTAGACACAAAGAAGAAAAGTTTTTTCCAACCCTTATGAGAGGTCAATTATAATGAGATGGACCTTCACCCATTTAGAGATATACAGGAAACCATCAAAAGGGGTGAATTTAACATTGAAAATTTTCATAAGCAGAGGTATAGTGGGGATGTCAATTTCATTTTTCTTGAAGAACACAAGGAGACCCACAAGAACCTCCCAAAAATTGGGAAAAAGCTGAGAAGGACAAACATGGAAATGTTGAAGAACACTCTTGAGGAAATGATGCATAGGAAAACGAAGACCATTCTCGAAAGAAACATATTTTCACAGGAATTTGGGAGCCATACCGAGTGTCCACATCTGGGCACCAATAACGCATACCCTTAGGGAAGCCAAATATAGTTGAAAGAACAATCATGAAATGAGGGGTTTTCTCGCTATGACCCACGAGGTCTAAAGCCCAGGGGGTAACCTCTGCTTCCTCAACGTTGTTGGAAACCCCGNTAGGAAAACGAAGACCATTCTCGAAAGAAACATATTTTCACAGGAATTTGGGAGCCATACCGAGTGTCCACATCTGGGCACCAATAACGCATACCCTTAGGGAAGCCAAATATAGTTGAAAGAACAATCATGAAATGAGGGGTTTTCTCGCTATGACCCACGAGGTCTGAAGCCCAGGGGGTAACCTCTGCTTCCTCAACGTTGTTGGAAACCCCGACCTCACTCACTTTGACCTTTCCTTTCCTAGACTTCCCTAACACAGGAGAAGATGATGTGGGAAACTCCTCGGTATTTTCCTCAAGTTCAATAGAGTTGACATCGGAAAAATTGTCAATCTCATCACCTAAGTCAGTATCTACCTCTCCAGTAGGTCTCTCACCCATGGCAAGAGAAACCGATGAAGTAATAGCCTCGGNTATTTTCCTCAAGTTCAATAGAGTTGACATCGGAAAAATTGTCAATCTCATCACCTACATCACCTAAGTCAGTGTCTACCTCTCCAGTAGGTCTCTCACCCATGGCAAGAGAAACCGATGAAGTAATAGCCTCGAAGGAGCCAGACATGATTGGATTAGAAAAAAGGAGATAAATGGAGGAGTAAGGAAATGAGACGTTGGCAAAACACTGCATGAGAGTTGAGGGGTCAAGACTCCAACGACCAATGAGGAAGATTCTAGCAGTAGAATAAGGGTCCAAAAAGAGGGGAAAAAAAGACAAGGAGTAACCTAAATTCTTAAAATAGCAAAATGAAATGTCCAAAAATGCAGCAACCACCTCGAGTTCGAGGGATCTAGAATGAAAAGAAGCAAAAGAGAATGGGAATAGAAGCGTACCTAGCCGAAAACAAGTAACAACCAAAAGACCCAGGACAAATCCGAGGAATAGAGAACCTTTAAATCAAACTTAGGAACCACAAGCAAAACCCTAGATCACCAGCAAATTGGAAAACGCAAAGTCACAAAGAAGACAAAGTAAAGCCTGGAGAGAGGAATCGAAAGGAGAAGTGAGGGGGTTTCCTTCTTCTCAGGGGCATTTACAGTTTGGTATATGTGGGTCTTCGAAGTGTGGGACGTGCGTGAGAAACGAAGAGGAAATGATTATGTAAAACTGTCAGAAAAATCTCTTTGCATGCAAATTGAGGTCACCAAATAGAGGCTTAGCTCGACCTGGCCTCAACTTAGCCCCTACTCAAACTCACTTTTACTAGGGATTGGGGGGCAACTAATGATGCCCGGAAGAAATTCCAAGTTTGAGCTCGCGCATTGAGATTAGGAAGGGAGCTCAGCCAAGAAAGCTTGAGCTCAAGGGTCCTGACCTAGGGCTCCCCCGACCTGCACCCTGAAGAAAACTAATAGAAGACAGTTGGCAACCACAATGAGCCCTCTTAACAGCAGTAAGCGTCAGTCTAAGCGCAATATCCTCAACCGCCTAAACCATCGCTTGGAATCAAGTAAGACGTTACAAGAGGGAGGCCAAGATCTCGCCTTAGACCCCATAGAATTAAGAACTAGACTATAAATACTATACGATGTCTTCATTATGGGGGAGAACAAGAAAAATAGTGCCAAGAATACTTTCTAATCTGAGCATCTTCAATAAACAGTCCCTGGGAGCAAGAAACTCCCTTAAGAGTGGATTACCTAAGCTTCTGAACTGATAAACCACTATAAACACTGTGTGTGATTCCCTCCCCCCATTATCCAGAAATCCCCCAGAGCCTTGGAGCTCAGATCGAATCAAACCACATCTTCTCAGTCACTCTTGATCCATAGCATTGCGAATATGAGCACCGTCAATAATCATTAAACACGTGTTAAGTTTATATCATGTTAAAATTGTAATCCTTGACTAAAAGGGTGGAATAATTAATTTCACTCTATAAATCTTCATCTCTACCTCATTATACTTTCTAGTTTCTAGTGTGGAACTAATGGGTCTACCCCCATTATGTACCATTCATTATTGACAAAGCCCACCCAAATCTATATTTACACCATGAAAATAGTAGAGTTTGGGGCTCAACTATATTTCTTTGTCTTCCATTTTTTGTCGATTATCACATTTTTCATATTGTACATTCAAGTATGTATGATTATTAATTTCATACTATCTCATCCATCGTAGTGTCTCTCCTATTACATTCTCAACTATGGTCACATTATCTGAATTGCAGCTATTGGAATTATGTTTCCTACTACACTAATGGTCATTTTTTGTCAAAAACATAAAGTCCATATGATTTGGGAGGCAACATTAAAAAAATGATTTTGGGGCAAAGTTCAACCACTTCAAATAGATAAAAGAATATAAGAAACTCAATAGTTAAGGGCTAAGTAAAATCAGAACCATAGTTGAAAACTCAAAGTTTACTTTCTTAATAGGGCTAATCTCAACTTGTAGCCTGAAATATCATTTGAATTTTATTAAAGTTTAAAAATATTAATTTACACCCTGAAAGATATAAATACATATCAATATGCACCTGAAACTAACTGTCATCTATTTTAACGTTAAAAAAGTTTGGGTTAATTATAAATTACACCCATCAAAATTTAAATATTTTACATTAATAATCCAAAAAAAATTTCATTCATTAATGCCCGTTAAATAAATCTCAATTGTATCGTATTATAATATTTTCGTGTCGTGTATGAGTCGATAAAAAAATATTTTTAACAAAAAATATTTTCATGTCGAGTTAATTGCGTTGTGTTTTATATTTTACATTTACGACAATTCATATAATACTATTTAATATTTTTTAAAAATTACTAATTTTTTTGTCTATAATACTTGTTAAATAATTATTTTTTGTCTATAATTGTTTTATTTGTATCTAACTTTAATTTGATCGGACAATCAAAAGATTTGTGTCTAACTGTATACAGAAATAATTATTTAACGAGTATTGTAGGCAAAAAATAGGTATTTTATAATTTTTTTAAATTTTTGAAACATATTTTTCATTGACTCAAATACGATACGAAGAAGTTATGATACGATAAAATTGAGAACTATTTAACGAGCATTAATAGATGAAATTCTTTTTGAATCATAAATATGAAATATTTAAACTTAGAGGGTATAATTTATAATGAATTCTAACTTTTTTAACGAAAAAATAAACAAAGTTAGCCCTTGATACACATTAATACAAATTTATATCTTTCATAACTGTGATTTCAAATTTGCATGGGGAGTTTAATGATGCGTCATGCTCTAAAACAAATGTTCTAAGTTTGACTCTCATTAAAAAATCTATGATTTAACTAATATTTATAATTAGCAAACAATTATAACTCTATTTTGGAAAAAACAATTGTTATGGAAACAAAAAGGATTCGAAACTAGATATTATTAGTTTCAATTTCTATCAATTTTCAATTATTGACCATTAATTTTAGAGGGATAATTTGTGGAATCCACTTAACCCAATAAATTTGATAATTGAAATTAAGGCAATCCAATCCAAGAATTCCATTTGAAGAAGCAAACATTGAACATGATAAAAAGGGCCACAAAGAGATAGATAAGATATCTTGACCATCCGAGGTGGCCAGTAGGCAGATATCAAAGGCCCAGGGACAGAAGATACTCTTCCTTAGGAAAGTGAAAAGCATGTGGAAGCCGGGCATGCCACGAGTGAAGCAGAGGCAGACCCACTGTCGAACACATGGCGATTCATGGCAGGCGAGTTGAGATCGCACGAAACACCAGCCTCTTATCATCAAAATTCCAACAATAAATCTCACCCATTAGAAATGAAACTATTTTCTTTCTCTCTCTCTCTTTCACTCTCTAGACTGGGACTTTGGAGGAGTTGTCAGCTTTGAATCGCCATGTCCGCCATTGCTACAGCTGCAGCTCTCTCGCTTCCCATCTCTCTCTGTCGATCATCAAGATTTAGCACTAAAAAGGTGCGATTCTGGTTTTTTTCTTTGCTGAACTTTTCTGGGTATTTTCTATATTTGGAGGAAATTCGGTTTTTTTTTTTGGTTCCAGTTGGTTGGCTGATTCTGATAGTCATGTAACACCAGAATCGTCAATTTTTATTTTCCTGAACAGAAATTTCCGGGTATTTGCTGTGAGTAAATGAAATTAGCTAGGTTTCTCTCTCTCTCTCTCTCTCGTGGAGCAGTCAAAAGATTGGTTTGCTACTTGAACTTTAGCTTTGATCACGGTGATCAACCACAAGGGTCATATTTTCTCTCTGTGTCTTTGTTAGATTGATATTGGTATTTGCTAAAACTGGAGGAATCTTTAGTTAAGTTGGTTAAATTGTCAGTTAAAAGTGGCTTATACAGTAGATCATTTTATTAATGAACTTTTCTTGGCTGCTAAAATCATGAGGAGACTTTAGATAGATTTGTTATTTTGTAAATGAACCAAAATGAAGTTGTCCCATAAAGAATGGTGTGTGCTACTCAAGCCCATAAAACACTTTGTTTAAATTGTCTACTGAATGTTAACAGGGTACCTTTCTTGCATTAGATGAATTTGTTTGATATTGGTATTTGCTAAAACTGTAGTTGGTGAATGGGATTTCAGGGTGTTAGGGGAGGGTTTGGCGTGTTTGCTCTATTTGGAGAGGAAGGTTCGTTGGTGGACAAAAAGAGTGCATGGGGCGCACTATTTGATGTGGAGGATCCAAGGTCTAAAGCTCCACAATTGAAAGGGAAGTTCTTGGATGTGAACCAAGCCCTAGAAGTGGCTAGATTTGATATTCAGTACCTGGATTGGCGGGCTCGGCAAGATCTTCTCACTATTATGCTTCTCCATGAAAAGGTATACATTGGTTGAATTTTTGTCATTCTTCTGTACTTTCACTTGGCAGTTTCACCACTGAATTTGAATTCAGCTCCATTATTGCTTCAATCCTCGATTGTAGTCTTATTGATGTCTTTGGATTTAATGGTGGTTTGGAAGTCATCATCACTGTTGGAGCATGATTGCAGGTTGTGGAAGTTCTAAATCCTTTGGCTCGGGAGTATAAATCTATTGGCACCATGAAAAAGGAGCTCGCGGAGTTGCAAGCAGAGCTTGCGCAAGCTCACAGAGAGGTCAGAAAACTTGTCTGCTAGATGCAGTGCTGTAGCTTAGACAGATGCACATAATTGGTTCTAAAATAGACTTTTTTCTGGGCCCAGCTGATGGGATATTGCTTTTATTTTTTTTAATATTGCCTTCGTTAAACACTGATCTCATTCCTGTCTTTATTGTCTGATTTTTTATGACTACAGGTTCATATATCTGAAGCAAGGGTTTCCACTGCTTTAGATAAGCTAGCTTACATGGAAACATTGGTTAATGATAGGCTGTTGCAAGATAGAAGCACTACTGAATCTGATAATCCATCCCCTTCTGCCAGTATATCCACACAATCTCTGGTAGATATTAAAATCAACCTGCCTCGGAAAGGTCTCAATGTATCTGGTCCTGTCCAACCTTACCATCCCAGTCTCAAGAATTTTTGGTACCCTGTTGCTTTCTCCACAGACCTGAAGGATGACACCATGGTAAGAAAATTAATACTAGTGATTCAGCTTCACATGTTAAAACATTGATTCTTCAGAACCAATCACATATGTGCATATTCCAACATAATAATGTCAGGCTAGACAGAAAGAAAAAAATATGGAATTGTGAAAGCTGCATTGCCTTTTCATTGATGGTTATGCAATCATTGTAATAGCATGGAAAACCCTCTGGGCCAAATGACTGATTATTAGGCTATGCCAGGGATCAGCTTCACCTTTAAACTTGTAGATATTCTCCACTGATTAGTATATTCATTCTTTACCAATAATGCATTGTCCATTTCTTTTATTCAGATCCCAATTGATTGCTTTGAGGAACCTTGGGTTGTCTTTCGTGGGAAGGATGGAAAGCCTGGATGTGTCCAAAATACCTGTGCTCACAGGGCATGCCCTCTTCACCTGGGTTCAGTAAATGAGGGTCGCATCCAATGTCCTTACCATGGTAAGAATGAGACAAATACTCAAAAAACGTTTTTTCATTGTGTCAGTAAAATTTAGAACATATAACAGATCGGGTATTATATATGCTTGCTCTTGTTAAGCTGATCCATTTTGAGATGTCTAATACATCTAGATATATTGATGACTGTTTATTCGAATTTTGAATTGAATGAACTTTAGGTTGGGAATACTCAACAGATGGAAAATGTGAGAAAATGCCATCAACAAGATTACGTAATGCGAAGATAAAAGCATTGCCATGCTTTGAGCAAGAAGGAATGATATGGATTTGGCCAGGCAATGACCCTCCAACAGCCACTATTCCGTCCTTACAACCTCCTCCGGGATTTATAATACATGCCGAGGTTTGTTATAAATGCGTCAAGATTCTCCCAAGTCGGATTCTGAGCCTGTTTGAATAATATAATGAAAGATCATATGCCATCTCACTCGGATGTTGTTGATAATGACAGATTGTTATGGAACTTCCAGTGGAACATGGGCTACTTCTGGACAACCTTTTGGATCTTGCACATGCTCCTTTCACTCACACTTCCACCTTTGCTAAGGGATGGAGTGTTCCTAGGTTTGTTTCATACTCATTTTAAATAATCAAAAAAATACAAGCAATCGATACAGAACTGTTTTGTAATCATTGACTTGAACATCAAAAGAAGCCATTGTCGAGATTCTCAAGCACGTGGACATTGCCCTTAGTTTCAAATGGCTTTTAGATGAGTTTTATTTCTCCTAGTCCATGAAATAACTCTATTCATAGTATAGAAACAAATCATGTTGGGAGTTAAATAAATGGAATTGACTCTCTCCTTCTATCCTCGTGGGTATGGCATAATGCTGCCTTTTCTTTTTCTATGTTTATTTGTGGGGTATTTACCCTTGCTTTCAAATATTATGAAAATTGAACTGTAAAGAAGAGAAAAATCTGAACTAGTCGCGTGCTTTTTAAAATTCTCAGCTTGGTGAAATTCTTGACCCCTTCATCTGGCCTTCAAGGATACTGGGATCCATATCCGATTGATATGGAATTTCGACCACCTTGCATTGTGTTATCAACCATTGGAATTTCAAAGCCTGGCAAATTGGAGGGACAGAGCACCAAACAGTGCTCTACACACCTTCACCAACTTCATGTGTGCTTGCCATCATCTAGACAGAAGACAAGGTTACTGTACAGAATGTCACTGGATTTTGCACCCGTTCTAAAGCACATTCCTTTCATGCAGTATCTGTGGAGACATTTTGCAGAACAGGTAAAGGTTTCTTCCAAAAAGGTTATCTTTATTGTGCAGTCGTAGTTGTACTGTGTTGCATTTAACAAAAGTAGTGACCTTTTGAACCTCCGGACGAGGTATAAATCAGCTACCTACTAAAGCCAACATATTGCTGCATGATTGCATAGGTAATAGGGTGGTGTAGAACTTACTATATATGTTGCCTGATTTCATTTTAAAAGATGCTGTCATGGATCAAAAGGTGCCGCGTATTCATCCCAGCATAGCTGGAGATGAGGCCCAGGGAAACTGTATCTACACACACTCTTAGTGCCCATATCCCACGCCTTGTGCTCACTATAGGGCTGCAAGGCATTAGTGGCAAATGCCCAACAGGATAATGTCTGGTATTTAAGAAACTGATCAAAACCCCTTGAAGCCTGTATGGCACTATATACATGAACACACCCATTCATTGACTCTTTGTGTGGCATAGTTTGATCACTAAAACCTCTTGTTTCTCAATGCAAACATTATATGTTTTATTCTTCGATAAGGACGAAAGATGTGCCCCTACCCGTCTTGCTAATGAGTTGAATGAATGGTTACATTTCCCGAATGTGATGAACTATATTATTATGTATCTTATTACCTAAATGTTGTTGCCATATTATCTGTTTTTTATTTGCTGTAGGTTCTGAATGAGGATCTGCGGCTTGTATTAGGCCAACAGGATCGGATGATTAATGGGGCAAATATCTGGAACTTGCCAGTATCCTATGATAAGCTAGGAGTAAGGTATAGGTTATGGAGAGACGCTGTGGATCGAGGAGCTAAGCAATTACCCTTTGGCAAATCACCATAAAATCTAATTCACGGGCGCGTTTACCCTTTCAAATGTTGTCCAGAACTGCCAATGATGAACGACTCCTAGCAATTTTCAGCTTTTTCTGTGCTCCCTTGCTCCTCTGAGGCAGATCCCATAGTAACTAACGGCAACTGTTAATTGATCCGAGGCAGATTAGATATGGACCCCTCATTCCAACCCTTGTAAAATAACAGGAACTGTAATTTGAACTTTTAGACTATTGAAAATTGGACCAGAAGAATGGAATCAACACAGAGAATTTATAGTGGTTCACCAGCTTGGAAGTTCGGTTAATCCACTTTCAAAGGAGTCTCTTACCCCTATAAAGTATATTGATAAATAGAGAATTACACAGAGTATTAGACTAGGCTACAATTGTTTGTGTCTCGTTTAAGAGGGTAATGCCTCATAATTATAGTTGGCACAAGGCCTCGCCTGATCTATAATGTGATTCCTGCATATCTCTTGTAACGGTTGTACCTATTGTACAATGGCAGTGGTGGATGTTGATGTAATTGCGACTTCTTTGCCTGGATATGTGACTGATATGATTTGCGTGGCACTTTGGTGGAAAACAATTGTCATCGATGCCACTAGACCGAAGAAGGGGTGCTGACCTCGAATTTCCTGGTCACCAAGAGTGGGCTGAGTTCCCAAACTAGAGTGGTCTAAGCTGATCACCCGAGCTCATCCTTACATATTTTGGGTATCATCAATTATGTATGACAAAAAATATAAACTTGTGAAAAATATTTTGCTTGGATTATTATCTTCTTATGCGGGATGTCGGATTTTTTTTTTTGTATTGCTTTTTTAGTCATAAATTGTGGGTTAATTGCATTAGAGGTCCTCAAAATATGAGATTTGTCTCATTTTGGTCATCAATATTTCAATTACATCATTTTAATTCATGAAGTATTGAATATATTTTTATATGATCTCTCAAGCAGACAACATCTAGATTACTAATGATTTTTTATCATAAATTTGCCATGTAATACCTAAATATGAATAAAAAATAATTTAAATAACTTTTAACCAAAATTTAGATAACGCTTGATAAAAAAAAAGGTATAATATGAGTAGCTTTTAAGTAAAAGTTAGATAGTTCATGATTAAAAAAGTGTAATTTGGGTTCTTAGACCAAAATTTGGGTAAAAATTTGGCCAAGAATTATCTAAATTATTTTTTTACCCATATTTTAGTATCATGTGACAAATTTATAATAAAAAATCGTTAACAATCTGCACACTGTCTACTTGAAAGACCATATAAAAACATACTCAATACTTCAGGGACTAAAATAATGTCATTAAAATATTAGAGACCAAAATAAAACAAACTTTATACTTTAGGAATTTTCATTATAATTAACCCTAAATTTGTGAAGAAGATTATTTGACTATAGCCCTTCTTTTTTTGTTTTTTTATTTTATATCCAAGTCGGGTTGGCGTGACCTTTTGACTGACCTGTTCATCTCACAGGGTAGGGGTGGTTAAGGCGTCGCTTGTACTGAAGTGTGATGTCAGGCCGGAGTTTTGGCAAACTTTGTCAAGCTATGGAATATAAGTGGGATATAGATTCTTTTTAATACATTTATTTTAGAGTAATGTTATAAATTTAAATAAAATTCAAAAAATTATAATTTAAATGTATATAATTTTTTGGATAAGTGGATCTCATCAATNTAAATGTATATAATTTTTTGGATAAGTGGATCTCATCAATTTTAGGCATTTAAGTTTTAATTGACGCCAATGAATTAATTTAAGGTACACATTTTGAATACTCCTGTTTATCTCTGAGCGTAGTTCAAATAGTTATATAGATTAGTTATAAATTTAAACATCTTGAATTTAAATTTTGNCTCCTATTTATCTCTGAGCGTAATTCAAATAGTTATATAGATTAGTTATAAATTTAAACATCTTGAATTTAAATTTTGACAATTTCTTTTTACTAGATTATGAGGGATTTTTATTTCATGAATACTCTAGTCCCGACATAGATAGTCTGCTTTGACCAGACCAGAAAGAAAATTAATCGAAGTGCGTGTAAATTAATTCGGATACCCTGACGGTTGAGTCTTAAAAAAAAATAGTCTTGTGTTGGCTCTTAATGAATTGGTCTTCCATTTCCATTATATATTCAAACTTTGAGTTCCAATCACACCAATAGAAAAACATTCCTATACTGTTTGACTGGGTTTTGGATGTTTTTATTAAATTACACTGAACAATTGCAAGTGACAGTTCAACTATGGTGGTTCTAATCTTCAATTACATTTGATTCTTTAGTCTTTTCATTTATGAAAAATTGATACATTGGAAGTCAACTTTTTTTTTTTTTTGTGATCAGAAACAATTAATAGGGAATGCCACTTTGTCTCATTCTTTCTAAATAAAAAAATTTTAAAAAAAAAATCAAATAATTTGGGGTTCTTAGTCATTATATCTATTCTTGAAATACGTGGTCCAATAATTCTTATTCCAGAAATCCTTGATCTCATTTTGTTGAATAATCGTGGTTCTAATGTGAATCTAAGATTTTAATTGATTCATAGAGTCTTAACAAGAGAATTTCTATCAATAACAGAGAAAACAAATAAGAAAAATCACATTACACACAAAAACAAATCAAAGAAGAGAAATAGGAAAAGAGATGATTCAAGAGGCTCACAAGTATCAAAATAAAGACAATTGAGTCAACTTGAAATTTTTGTTTTTTTGCCATAAATAAGAATTTTTGAATTTTTAGTATTTGATTATTTTTGCTCAAATTATATTAGATGAAAGTCTCATATAATGTTCTTAGAGAGGGAGTCTCGCCTTTTCAGATCATTAAAACTATGAACAATGTTATACAGACCTAATTTGATAATTTAATTCATTTCAGTTATTAGATTAATTANTTTTCAGATCATTAAAACTATGAACAATGTTATATAGACCTAATTTGATAATTTAATTCATTTCAGTTATTAGATTAATTATTAGTTCCAATGTTAGATTAAGATCACTTTCAATTCAATAAATATAATTGATTATATCCTAAAAAATAATATTTTTCTAAAGCTAAATATAATGAACAAAAATAATATACTATTAACAAAAGGAGAGGGTGGGATTTGGTGTCCAAGCTTGAAATACCTATAATACCCCCCTTCTTTTTTTCCACATTAACCACCCATAAATTTCATAGTCAGACTATCCAAATAGAATGGGATAAAAATCCGAGCTCTAAATGATTCATTGTGTATTAAAAAGAAAGGCTAGAATACTGTGGTTCTTATTAATCAACTATTCATTGCATTGAAATTTTATCCAATAAGACAAAAGAATTATAAATCTCCAAAATTAATAGATATAAAAATCGCAAATAAAGTCATTGTGACAATCATCAAAATAGTTGTTCTCCATCCCAGAGCTACTTTACCATATTCCAAATTCAATAATTTTAATAAATGCCCCACAATAGTTCGAATCAGATTTAGAAGTGTTCTCAACAGTTTATGGAGTCCCATTTCTTAACAATTGCATCGGAGGTTTTCAAAGTACGGGAGTTTGTCTCATTTTGTTCCCCAATATTTCAATTGTATTATTTTGGTCCTTAAAATATTGAATATATCTCTATATAATCTTTCAAGCAGACGACGTTCAAATTACTAACGTTTTGTTATTATATACTTATCACGTAATACCTAAATATGAAAATAATAATAATAATTTTGATAACTCTTAAACAAATTTTGGGTAGTTCTTGACAAAAAATGTGTAATATGGATAAATTTTGACTAAAATTTGGATAGCTCATGATTAAAACTGTATAATTTGGGTAGCTATTTAANATTTTGACTAAAATTTGGATAGCTCATGATTAAAACTGTATAATTTGGGTAGCTATTTAACCAAAATTTGAGTAAAAATTTAATCAAGAATTATCCAAATTATTTTTTTGTCCATATTTTAGTATCACGTGAGAAGGTTATGATAAAAAATCATTAGCAATCTGAACGTTATCTGCTGAAGAACTATATAAAAATATATTCAATATTTCAGAGATCAAATTAATACAATTAAAATATTATTGACCAAAATAAAACAAATTTTATATTTTGGAGATCTCCGGTACAATTAAGTCTGAATTTTATTCTATTCTTTGAGATGTGTTGACTTTGTATATCATTCTCTTCTCATTATTTATTTTGGATAACTCCCATAACTCACTNTCTGAATTTTATTCTATTCTTTGAGATGTGTTGACTTTGTATATCATTCTCTTCTCATTATTTATTTTGGATAACTCCCATAACTCACTCACTCTCCTCTAATCTCAATTTTAAATTAAACATATGAATAACCGAGTGCAAGACCACATTAAACAAAAAAATCATGAAAGCCATACATGACTTCTTCTTCTTCTTCTTTTTTTCTTTTTTTTTTTGAGAGGACTACGACACCCTCAAAAAAAAAAAATTGGTATTTTACTTCTAAAATTTATAATTTTTGTTGGTATTTTTACAATTTTAAGATTCATTTAACAATAAAAAAATTTATATTTTTTGAGATCATATTATAATTTTTATGGTTCAAGGTAAAACTTATGTGAGTCATTTATAACTTTTATGAGTCTCTTCAGATCAATTCCACTTANACAATTTTAAGATTCATTTAACAATAAAAAAATTTATATTTTTTGAGATCATATTATAATTTTTATGGTTCAAGGTAAAACTTATGTGAGTCATTTATAACTTTTATGAGTCTCTTCAGATCAATTCCACTTAAAAATTTTGGGATTGATCTCAAATAACTCATAAAAAATGTAAATAAATCACTCATAAAATTTATAAATGATCTACAAAATTTATAAAAAAAATATCGTAAAAATTTGTAACAGTTATATGGTAATGATTTAATTTTTTTTTTTNTGTAAATAAATCACTCATAAAATTTATAAATGATCTACAAAATTTATAAAAAAAATAACGTAAAAATTTGTAACGGTTATATGGTAATGATTTTTTTTTTGTGCCATAAACAACTTTTTAATGTTGTTCGAATAAGGGATAATGTTGTTTGGATGTGGAAATTGCTATAAAATACCAAAAACACCCATCAACACTCTCATGTGCCTCGCACATGACACTTCCGTCTCCTTTTTTAACGGTAGTTAGTTACATTAGTCAAATGTGTGAACTTTGCATCAAGGACTAAAATGTGACAAACAATAAACCCGAGGGACCATTGTTGCAATTTACCTTCTTTTTTCTTTTTTTTTGTCCTTTTTGTTTTGCTTTTGTTTCTTAGTTATTTCCGTGTGGAGAAAAGCTATATATATGTGCCATGTGGGAGAGAGACATCACAAGCAAGACGGCACGAGAGAGAGAGAGATGGCAACAGCAACTACCGCAGGAGCGAAAGAGGTACCGAAGATAGTGTGGAACGAGAGGCAGCAGAAGTTTGAGACAGAGGACAGGGAAGCGTACTTGAATTACCAGATGAGAGATGGAGGGAAAGTAATGGACATAGTACACACTTTCGTCCCTAACAGCAAGAGAGGCTTAGGTCTTGCTTCTCACCTCTGCGTCTCCGCGTTCACTCACGCCAAGTCACATTCTATGTCTGTCGTCCCCACTTGCTCTTACGTTTCTGTAAGTTGTTCCCCCCCTCTCTCTGTCTCTCTCTCTGTGTAAGTTCTATAGGATGTTTTTCTGGGTTTTCTCATTTTCGGATTTATAAGATATCCCCTTTCTGGGTTTTTCTCATTTTCTGTTTATATGTGATATGCTCTTTCTGGGTGTGCTTGATTTAGGGATTTACTCTTGTATTCGGTGCAATATCACCTTGGTTATGACTTATGGTGTTGATCTGAATAAGTTTCTTGGTTTTGTTTTTTGTGGGTACAATCAGGTTTTGAAGATTTTGGGGATCATCATGAATTTTAATTAAGGCTGGTTTTATTTCAATATCTAGATATTATTTGGGGAATATAGCTGTTTATCCGTGAAATTGTTTATCTGGATTGTGCAAATTTTGCACGCAGTAGGCAAGAAAAATGGTCCAGATTTCACTCAAGTAGGTTTACATAGACTGTTCAAGTGAAATATAGGTCAATGGATTGATGCAATAGTTAAACAAAGTTTTGAATATAGTCTGTGGTGGTGTTTTTATGTGTGTTTCGGTTGGTTTTGGGGGGGGAGGTGGGCGGAGGGGTATAAGATGTGAAATTTTGATTGATTAGATCTAGGTATTCACTGTGAATCAGACATAATTTTTTGGTTTCTGTAATCAAGTAACTTGATTGTTTGGCGGTGTATAAACCTCTTGAAGTGTCTCAGTTGTAAATAGGGAAAAAAATATAATGAAAAGGTCCTGTGACTAGTTGTTTGGTCAAATGTAAAGATGGCCTNGTTTCTGTAATCAAGTAACTTGATTGTTTGGCGGTGTATAAACCTCTTGAAGTGTCTTAGTTGTAAATAGGGAAAAAAATATAATGAAAAGGTCCTGTGACTAGTTGTTTGGTCAAATGTAAAGATGGCCTTTTCCAATTGTGTATTAATGAGAGACTGGAGTCGGAGACACTTTTCTTTTCTTTTCTTTTGGATGAGGCACAGCCTGTGAAACATTGAGAGATTGGCGAAGTCTTTATGTGGTTGTACTTGTACCATTACAAAGTTCATATCTTCCCAAACAATTTAATCAGATTTTGAGGCAAATTACCATAAGTTTTATAAATGTATGGCACCTGCTAATTAATTTTATAATACATATGGCCGCATCTGACTGCCTGGTTAATTATGTGGTAGATGTGGTGTGAAGTGGCTGGCCCATTTGTAACTAGTGGTTCATTTTGTTTACTTTGATATAGAAGAGATGTATAATGGCTTTAAGATCTTTTATTTTCCTTATGCAAGTATGGGTCTTCACCTTCCCCATGTTAATCAAGTTTGAAAATTTTGAACTCTTTCTCCATCTGCAAAAGTTTGAAACTATTCACCCTATCAATCCCCGTTTTCAATTCCATTTATTCCCACAAATTTACTGGGGAGACATAGTGTTGACGGCTGATTCTAGATGGTGGCACTTAATTTGGAGGGTGAACCTTTGCAGATCTAATATTCTCGTATATGGGGATGCTTAATTAGGATGGTGAGCTTTTTAGGATATACCCAGTATTTTTAGTCGATCTAATATCAGATCTTGTGCCAGGATATGCATACATGATGCTTCCCTCGCAGATACATGTTTTTGCTTTTTAATTGTTTTTTTACAAGAGTCCTGTTAATATTGGAAAGCTGCTAATTTCCAGAAGTCGTTCCATATTTTAAGGAACTGAAGCTTACATATAGAGACATGAGTGTTTGGAAGTAGTTTAATACTTAACATCAAATTTCGCTGGATGTATGTGGCTTGTATATCCTGGAGGCTTATTTATTGAGTGCTATGAAGCTCCTTGACAAGTGTTTTGATTAATTGTTATAATGGAGTTGAATCTTTTGTCCATAGCAAAAGGCTGTCACGCCTAAGCTATATAAGGATCAGTTGGGCACATAGCATTATTAGCTTGGTCAACTATTGCTATCTGCTTCTCTTTCTGTGCTTGATTTTAGGCTTGAGGACAATGTTTAGATTTTCAATGACTAATGATAATCGTTTGGTACATTTATGGGATGTAGGATTTGTGGGATGGTTTGGAATAACTATAGTTGGACGATGAGGGGCTTATTAAAGAGCATTTTGGTGTAGATGTGACAATCATTTTTTTAAAAATGAACGTCTTTTTTAATGCTAAAAATTATATGGTTTAAAATGAATTAGTCTTAAAGTTTGTGCCCCCCCCTCTTCCCCTCTCTTCACCCCACAAACACCATTTTTCTTTTTTTTTTCTTCCCCTCTCTCTGAGACAAAAATCTAGCCCAAAAATTGATGGGATGTTGCAAAACCGATTGTGCTGTGGTATTCTTATAGTAATTTATTGGACCCTTTCTTAATTTTTTACTTATGTGCTGGGCTATTGGCACATTGGTTTTACTAATACTTTGTATTAATGTGAATACTTCACCTGGCAGGATACTTTTCTTCCACGGAACTCATCCTGGAATGCTGTTGTGTACACAGAGGATGCCAAATCTAATATGTGAATCGTTCTATGGCACGTGTCGTGTAGTTTTTCCTATGAAAATAACTGCAGTCAAGAGGGAATGCNATGCTGTTGTGTACACAGAGGATGCCAAATCTAATATGTGAATCGTTCTATGGCACGGGTCGTGTAGTTTTTCCTATGAAAATAACTGCAGTCAAGAGGGAATGCCATGCCATGCATTACCATGTTTCTTTGGATATAGTTGTACTACATAGAGTTGTTCTCTTACTCCTGTTTTTGTGCAAGTGGTCTGTTATATAAAAATACTTCCTGTTTCGGAGACAAATTATCTCTGCTTTATTCAAGACAAATGATCTTTTGCTTCTTCACTAATGCAGTTATATGATGTTTCTCTCTCTCTCTCTCTCTACATATATTTGTATATTTATGTAATAAGATAGCTAGCATTTTGAATTTTATCTTCACATATTAGTGTATATGTATCGAGTTTCTAACTGATTAGATATGCCTATAAGAGTAAGCACACTATTTTCATAGAAGGATAATGTGTGTGTGTGCGTGTGTGTGCNATTTTAATATCTTATTATTATTTAAGATCTACCAATTGTTTATTTCAAAACTTTCACTTAAATCTTTTATTATTTTTTTATTACTAATAATAAATTTATTAAGTGATCTTTTTTTTTCTGATTCAATAAGTTTTTCTATTTTTCTCTTTTTTTAAGTTCCTTATATTTGAATTGTTTTTTTTAGTAGCCACAGTTTTTTGACAATTCAATATTTTTTATAAATCAATCAAATTCTATAAAAAAATTTAATANGCGTGTGTGTGTGTGTGAATCACCAAGAGTTTGGCCCTGCTTTTAGAATTTATGATCCTTGTGATTCATGAATACAGAGTGATTTTACGCAATTTGACTTGCGAACGTCTCTATTTCGAGCCTGGTGTACTTCTTGTTCCTACCTGACGTTGTCTTTCCCGAAGAGACATAAGGAGGGATCACACAGGTCTAGCATTGGACCTCACTTTAGTTTGTCAACAAGATTTCCAAATTCCAGGATTATACCAGGGGCGGCCCGAGCTGCTTCGGGCCTAAAGTGAGGATTCTGTGGGGGG